CCGTCGGCTCTCCATCCCACGGCCGAACACCGCCGAGCACTCCGGCAGCTCGCCTAGATCGGCAAACAGCGGCTCGTCCTCCTCCCGCATTGCGAAAATCTCGACCTCGTCCGTCAAAATTGGACTTTCCAACACAGGCCAGAAACTCGTGCAGTCAAAATCACTCAGCCACCCAAATTCACCGCCGTCAATTAGCGGCGCGTCGCCGAGATTGACAATATTTTCATGGGGAGATTGATTTTGTTCGTTATTTGATAAATTAATTGCAGGTTTTGTCTCTTCCTCCTCCTCCTCCTCTTCTTCGTCCCCAGCCTCATCGGAAACCGGAGTTCCGACATTTCCCGCGGCGGCTGTGCGGTGGTTGTTTCGAGAGGCCGGCCAGGGATGGTTGTGCTCGCAATAGTATGTGACCACTAGCATTTTAGAGTCCAATTTACTTCTCTCAACTTGCTTTCTCGCCGGACATCCTTTCGAGCTGCTACACCTATAATATCCTCTGCCAAAATTTAAATAAAATTTTATTGGTATTGCAATTTTTTTTCCCTAATTATATTATTACATGTAAAAAAATGGAGAGATATTACGGTCCCCTTACAAATTCATTCCTATTTATTTGTAACCGTTATATCAATTATACTCGACAGTTATATGATGATCTAACTATTACAAATCTTCACGACCGCAACATTTCCCAAAAATTTGAAGCTACCTGGGATATGGGGAGCCTTTGATGGGCTTTTGGCCGTATTTGCGCCAGGCCCATGAATCGGACGGTGGAGCGCTCATCGGATCGCCTTTGAGCCTTAGTCCCTCAACGCCTGTGATCGGCACTGACACCACTCTCTTGTGTATCGCGCGCTTACTGTAACATTAAAATCAATTTTTTTTTCCCATTAAATACTTAATTTCTTCTAGCAAAAATCTCAATTAAATGATATAACAATTAGACAATTAAACTTATCTCCGTTCAATTTATTTCGTTATATATATTTAAGTGCGATTTATTCTGTGTATATCTATCTATACCTTCGTTTGGAAGATGAGGTAGAGGCAATCCTGGCATCGGCCGACACGGCGGCGCACGGCGAGTCTCCGGCGCTGTTTGCCGGAGAGAACTCGGAATCTTCGCGGTGGCCGACAAATTGGTGACTGCTGAATCTATTGGTCATGGCCCTTTAAGCTGATGATTTACCTGTGATGATGATATCAATGATATTTATGTGCGTGTGTGTGTGTGTGTTTAGAGAGAGAGAGATTAAGATGGGTCCGAATTGAATTCAAACAAGTGGTGTAATAAATAGTGTAGTTTATAAAGGACGTGCAAGCAAAATGTTGAAGTATTCAAAGCTGTATTAAACAAATGTAGTACTAAAATAAACATTATTTTGAAAGTAGGGTTTATTGCAAATATTTTATTACAAGAAAATGTTACGGTTCCGTTACAGAACCATTTCGTCGGGATTTGTAATTGTCAAAGATAGTTGATCTAACAGTTACAAACTTCGACGAAATGATTCCGTAACGAGCCCGTAATATGTCCCTTTAATACAATGTGGAAAAGACCCATATGGAGTTTGATTGGTGGGTAGTTAATAGCGCTAACGACGTCGTTCGTGAGGTGCATCAGTTGAACAATTTTATTCCCAATCTTCACCGCGTTGCCAAATTGCCAATGCTTAATACAATGCATATTTTCTTAATGACTATTTTTAGTATTTTATCCAAACCTGTGTTTGCTTTTTTTTTCTCCTATGGGCCCCGCTTATTAATTTCGTCCTATTAATGAGATTTGATATAACAAAAGGAGAAATTTAGAACCACAGTCATTTTTTTTTTTAAATAAATAATAATAATAAAAGTTATAAATAAGCTGATCCATCTAGATTGTATTGTCTGGATTTCGGGCTTAAAAGTCTATTTTTTGAATTTTTCGGTCCAAAATCGTGCTTACTATAAATGTGATAAGATTCATGAGTTAATTTTCAACTCATTTAGTTAATTTACTGCATTTCATGTGTTCAAATAACGTTTTCTGACGCAGTAGAAAACGTACGGTGGGAACAATATGAATTCTCAGAAGAACTCAAGAGAGATAATTTTATTTCAATCGTAAACTGAATAACAATGAATGTTCTGCCCCTCTAAATAGGCTCTCCACCCTAATTTATTTAAAGCAATAAATATCCTAAACATAGGAAATAAATAAAAGGGAATAAATAAAAAGATAAATTACTAAATAACTAAATAGCTAAATACGAAGAGGATCAAACTTGTCCAAGTACGCCAATGCGATCTCGTCGCCATCATTTTCTTTCTACAGTTCTGCTATGGAGCTATCGACGTTTTTTTCTACAGTTTTGCTATGGAGTAATCGGATGACACGTCTTATGGAGTCATCCACACTTATTCACAAATAGTGTATTGAGTGTGTCGTGCAATAGTTACACTTTAGACATGTGTCAATACATTAAGTGATGGATGACTCCATAAGAAAATAATTCGATGACTCCATAGAATTTCTATTTCTTAGCTTTGCTATATATGGAGCCACCGGATGGCACGTCTTATAGAGTCATCCACACTTATTCACAAATAGTGTATTGACATGTGTCCTACAATAGTCACGGTACCATCGTCGGATGTTTTAAACGTTGATACACATGTAGTTAGTATAAGATAGATGATCCAACGGTTAAAGCATCCGATGGGATGATACCGTAACGAGACCATAGCATTTCCCCTAATTCTAATACGCGAGCAATGTGTAAACATTTGGTTCAGAACAACTACTCCCATCGTGGTTCAGAACAACTACTCCCATTGTTTTGGCTCTATATATATTACATTTATTTTAGATTAAATCGATGAACTGTATATTTAAATACGATTTAAGTTTGTCTTCGCTATCCTCTTTAGCGTATTATGTCATTTTTCGTCTTTCTTTAATGTTTTTTTTTTTATTATTCGGTTAAATAATTTATTTGCATAGCTTTATTCGAGACAAAAAGTGATTGTTTTAGACTTACATTAGAATATTTAGTATATGCAATTGAATTATGGATTTTACAGTTCAATTTAGATATTTTCTGATTTTTCAAATACATGGTATATATTTGAGTACATGAATTTAATACTAAATCTCATTTATTTGTGTGTCATATTCAATGAAATTATACATAAATCTTAAATGACATGTCATATAACAAGAATAGAGGGATTTTTAATAAATTATGTTGTTTCTTCTAATTAAAATTTGTCATATGTATAAGGGAGTAGCTAGCAACTCACTAGTTTGTTAAGAAGGTCCAGTTCCATATAAAACGGGACTAGAAAAAATAATACTCCCTCTTATTTTTCTTAAATGTCATTTTAGCTTTATCAACAATTAATCAAATAAATGTCGTTTTGGATCTTTTGTACACACGTCTGCTAGAATATTCGAGCCAAATATTTAATGCATAAACTTGCGCTCATTTAATAAACGATTTGTCGTGGCTCAGCTCGTTTGCAGATAAACAAAAAATGTAAGCTCGAGTTTGGCTCGTTTCACACTTATACATGTAGAGTATTAATATATTGAATTAAATTGCATTATGTTTGGTTGTTATATAATAATGAGTTTGGAATTGAATCATAAATACATTTTTTAAAAGAAACATCAACCAAACTTAATTAATTATCTATGACATATTCATAAACAACACAATATATTATTTTCCTTATCCAGAAGGGCCAATTAATGTCAAATATGTATATTTTATGACAAGTTGGCTTATGTTCATTGAAATAGTGGACCATAAGATATGAATTAGTCCACATGCTCATGGGATACAATAATGGAGAAACATTGGATAAAGTATTAATTTATTGATCCAATTGATTTATATTAGTCAATATCTTATTAACATTTAATTTATGCTATTTAATGCTTCTAATCTAAATGCCGTGTAATGGCATCCAATATTTCTCTAATCAATGTGATCCCTCTCCATGTTGTGTTACAATAAAAAAAATAGAGTGATGAACATGAAGTCAAACGAACTTGTTGACTTTTCAATTATTATTATTATTAATGTGCATAGTTGTTTAGGACCAATTTTTTCGTCCGTGTAATAACATTTTTAAATATGTTGACATATATATATATGTGTATATATATATATATTAGTACAATGCCCGCATATTACACGGGTGTTTGCTAATTATTTCCTTAAAATCTAAAATTAATGAGAAATAATAGTTGAAATTTTGAATAACTTTTATAAATATATATATTATTATATATTTAGTACGACACTTTTTATTTGTGCGACTTACATGTGTTATATTATAATAATTTTTTAACTTACAACATATAACTATATTAAACATAATATATGAATTGATAAATAATTTTATTTTTCTAATGAATTTTAATAAATATTATTATTTTTTTATTATTGTAAAGATAAATATAATTTATTTATTTCATATATACAATATGGATGTCAAATCGAAAATCATCAAAAGATGATTAATTTGATATATTATATATGCAAAGCCGATAAAAAATACAAAAGTTATCAATTTTAAAATACATTTACAATTCAATAGCTAATTGAAGGAAACAAATCAAAAGTCATGGATATATTAGTCACTTAGTCTTTCACTATGTAAAATTACAAAAAATTAGAGGGTTATATTAGTACAAGTGATATTAAAATACCTAAGTTAGCTAAATAATATTTGTGAAATGTCTGAACCTAAATATTAATTATTAATATATCAATATTATTTGTCCAAATCTAATTACGAAGCATGATTCTTCGCCAAGTAGGATTCCGAAGACCAAAAGCAGCCACGTAGGCTCAGCGCATTCGGAAATTATATATAGGGATA